CGGGGGGGGCGGGGCGGGTTCACCCGGCCCTTGCGATCTTGGAGGCGAGTGTTGCCTCTCTCTCTCTCTCTCTCTGCGGCACGGTCCTTCATGCAGGGCTGAGCCAAGGATCCCGGGGCGGGTAGATGAGCCAGCCCTGAGTCGGGCAGTCAGCCTTGCCAGGGCCACACCCTCTCCATGCCCCACTCCACCATGTGCCGACAGGAGAGGGGGGGAGGCTGCTGAGGCTGGTGCCCACACCACCTGCTCCACGGCCTCCGCTGCTGTCGGCAGGGGAGAAGGTGCGCTTGGCTGCAGGTTTATCGGAAGGTCAAGTGCAGGCAGAGGGGCAGGGCAGGCGTGGTGACCTGGCACACCACCAGGTGCGTGTGACCCTGAGCAGTCGCAGAGATCAACCTGTAACTGCGGGTGACCCTGAGCCCTGGCAGCTGGAGCTGAGCTAGGGCAGTGGTGGGCGGAGAGCTGGAGGTGTGGGCAACGTGACCAGTGACCAGGTGTGCCCTGACACGTGGGCCTTTGTTTGACAGGTCATCATGCAGGCTTCTGTGCATGGCGTCCTGTTTGCTGTTTGTTTGCAGACCTTTCTCCGCTCTGGAGGGAGTCGGGGAGAAGGGTGAGGGTGTTGCCTGTCCTCCTGTCCAGGCAGGTGCCCTAACCCCTCTGCCTGGAGTGTACCAGGTGCCAGGAGATGCTCGGGGAAGGACAAGCAGCCTCTGTTCTCTAAGCTGAGAGTAGTTGGAGGGAAGAGTTCCAGGAAGGCAGCTTTTAGCTTAGCATAAGTATGACAGTGAGAACTTACAAGTGGGATGAATGAAAATGATGAGTTTGTTCTGCTTGCAAAAGCCTGGCAAACAGAGGGACTTTGTGATGGATGGATGGATGGATAGATAGAGGATAGATGGATGGATGGATGGATGGATGGATGATGGATAGATGGATGGATAGATAGAGGATAGATGGATGGATGGATGGATGGATGGATGGATGGAGGATGGATGGATGGATAGATGGATGGCTAGAGGATATAGATGGATGGATGCATGGATGGATGGATGGAGGATGGATGGATGGATGGATGGATAGATGGATGGATGGAGGATGGATAGAGGATAGATGGATGGATGCATGGATGGATGGGATGGATGGAGATGGATGGATGGATGGATGGATGGAGGATGGATGGATGGATGGATGGATGGAGGATGGATGGATGGATGGATGATGGATGGATGGATGGATGGATGGATGGATGGAGGATGGATGGATGGATGGATGGAGGGATGGAGGGATGGCTAGAGGATAGATGGATGGATGCATGGGTGGGTAGATAGATAGACTAATGGGTGGTGATAGAGGATACACAGATGGGTGGATGGGTTCGTGGATAGTGAGCTGCCCTGCTAGGAGTACCTGGTACAAAGTGGGTGCAAGCAGCTGCCTCCTGTGAGGCGGAGGTCTTGTTTCTTGTGACCGAGGGGCAGTGGGAAGGGGATGTGTGTGGCACGTGTCTGCTCTTGCTCCCACACACACCTCTCTGTGGGGAGTGTCCCTCTCCCCAGCGCCTGCTCTCCCTGAGGAGGCAGACCCGGCGCCTTGCTCCTGTGCGTGACCACGAGCCCAGGCTCTCCAGCTTCGGAGCCCGCCGGAGAACCCCGTCTCAGAACTCACTAGCACATCACCCCATCTGCTCAGCCCCCTTGCAAGGCCTCCCACGGCTCCGCCCCGGAGGGAACCTGCTGGGGCATTTCAGGTGTGGAAGGAAGGTGCACAGGTGCTGCCAGGGCTGCGGCCAGCGCTGGGCAGGGCCCAGGAGGCTGGAGGGGCAGAGTGCCCGAGGCTGCGGCGCCGAGCCCACCAGGGGAGTGGATGCCCGCACACAGCCTGGGGGGCACATCTTTCATTTCCCGGCTCACTCTCCTCCACAGCACCAGTGCTGCTGGACAAGGTCAGAGTTGGCAAACTGCTGGTCTTCGGGCTGAATCTGGCCTGCTGACACGCACAGAATCCAAAATAGTTTTCATTAATCGCCTGTTTTTAAGTTTTTAAAAACGAGGATACTTCATATCCAGTCAGGATTTCTGACTCCTGAAAAACCAAACACTCCTGCAGGCCTGGGCCCCACCGCACCGCTTCCCTGGAGGCAGCCGGGGGAGGAGGCTTCAGGGC